ATAATTGGTGTTTATGCCTTTGTAAAGGATTTTAATAAAGCTCCTTCATACAAACATATACTGAACTAATTTTCTCCAAAAATTAATTTTGTGTTTGAAATATTATAATAATCTGTGTAAGCTAATGTAATTTCTTCACTTTTAAACAAAATATGAATAAAAATGGGAAAAACAGTCAAGACAAGTGATATCCTAAAGGCCTTTTTTAGGGGTTTCCAAGGCATAAAGAAATATGAGATTGCAGATTTATGTATAGAAATAATTCAAAAGGCAAGGTGGAGCTTTGATGAAATTAAAACATTCTTTACAAGATAAAAGAAATTTCAAAGTTTAAAATGTCCTCTTTTAGAACCACTACAACCTAGTAAGCAATTTGGAAATGAGAATTCTTTAAATTATTTAAAAAATAATGATTTTAATATTAACAGTATGATTTGATAGTAAAACTAGAATTTTTTAAAATCTTATCTCAAACAATTGTTAAAAAAAAACAAAAAGGAGCAAAGGGAAGCTACCTATGCCTTTAGTCGATTTTTTTTCATATTTATGAACATTTTCACATTAGACAACTATCAACGTATCAAAGACGATTTTCGAATTAAAGAGATTATGAAGTTATTCTATCAAATATTCATATGCAACAACAGAAACTGCAAATGAATGTGTGAATTCAATTAAAAAAAGAAAGAGAAAAGATATTTTAAGTAGAAATAAAGAGAAAAAGAAATACAAATCATCAAACATTTAAAGTCCTCAGAGGCAAACATTCCCATTCTGCTGCTAAGGTGTGCAGATCCTTTGAGCACATAATGACATGTAAACGGTTGCCCCTGTCACCAACGTGTTGACAACAATGACAGTGAGAGCCACACGGATTCAGCAATGGAACGTGGGAGACATCTGGAAAAATACCAAATTACAACACAATTAATGAATGTAATCAGAATGCATCAAACATAAACATGTAAATATATATATATATATACACACACACACTTTATGAATGTATATATAACATATATACATGCATACTTTGGTTTTTGAGTTGATCTCAATCTGAAATGTTTTTACAGCAGATATGTTAAAACTCAAATTACATAAAACAGGAGTATGCAGTATTAAGCAAACATTACATTATTAATAAATATCATTTTTATACAAATTTTTGAAAAAGGTTTTATATAAAGTTTTGGAAAGAATATTCTTAAACATTATGTTTTCTTTACATAACAAAAGTGGAACAAAATAATACAAAACCATATGAGAATAGTTAAAGAGCAAAATTTTCAAAAATTCCTTTACAAATTTAATAAATCAACAAATTTACAGTATTTTTTTTACATAATGCTATCTTCATAAATGTTTTAAAAAATAAACAATGTTGTGAAAAAAAATTCAAGAAATTTACAAAATATTTTGGTATTTTATGTACAGTGTATTTATAGATAATTTGTCATTTCAGAAGAAATCTTACATTTGGACAAACAAAAATCACTTTATGTAACATTTTTATAGGATAAATCATACTTACCACAGATTTTTCAATTCATACAATAATGAGATTAGTAATAATTTAACAATGTGACAATAATAAAAAAAATAACACTATTTTTTAAAAACATGGATAACCCAAGAATAATAGAAAATATATAAAAAATATATTTGAGAATATTACATTCCTGCGATGATGATATAAAAGAAATAAAAGTTAAAGCTTCAAATTTTCAATTTTACTGTTTATAAAATAGAAATTCTTTATAAATATATTCTACCTTTTTGAAGCCGATATTTTAACATTTGATATAAAACTGTTTACAAAAATTGCACCAATTCTCACAGATGAGAATTATTTGACCAGTACTAGAGTAAATAATCATATATAAAGTAATATCACCAGAAGCTAAGTGAATAGGCGGTTTCAATCTAAAAGCAAAAAAGAATATTGTTTTATACAAAGTTCGTTATAACAAAATTATAAAAGTCTTTATAACATGAAACTTTTGAATACAATTACTTTCTTAAAATAAAAATCAATAAAATGTAAAAAAAAGAAAAAGGAATTGCTATAGATTTGGTTTTCTTAAAGAATTTGATAATAAATAAAGAAATTACTATGATAATTCTGTGATAATAGATTCTTTTCCTATTTCACTTCTCATTCTTTGAAAAGAATAAAAGTTTGATGATCAACTTGTATTTCTAATTACAAAGGACACTTTAAATAAATTATGTACAATATTTTAGATTCCTTTTAGTAATTTGCAAAATTTTTAGACTGCCAATATTTCAAAAACAGAGCCCAAAGTATAAAAACTTAGTAATTTTAAAATGCCTGATCTTTAGGGCTGAGCATATTGTTTAAGGATAAAATGAATTTAAAAAATAAAATCAAAAATATCTTTGTCAATGTTTGCTATTTTAACAATCAAAACCATAAGAGAATATACAAAAATATCGATGTCAGTAAAGAATGTCCTGAAAGACTAAATACCTTGCTTAAAAACACAAAAATGTTTTTTTGTAATAAGATGTTTTTCATTCCCAAAAAATAAATATATCGCTACACTGACTTGTTAAATACATAAAAATTCATACAACTGTTTTCATAAAATAGAAACATTTAAGATTTTTATGTTTTCAAAACAGGACTGAAATGAAATGACCCAAAGTTAATTCTACTTATAAAATGTCAGCAAGGTGCATGAACAAAACTGTCAGCAGAAAAGACTTATTTAGTAAACTGAACTCGTGTAAATTGTTCAGAAATAATCCGAGATAAGAAACAATTTAGTTTCTATGCATTCAGGTAGAAATTGTGAGATCAATATCAAAAGTAATTTCTGCTTTATCATCTCAAATTTATAATACAAAATAACTATTTTGCAAATGAAAGGGAGAAAAAGAAAAGAGAAAAATATGATGTGTGGTAATTGTACAACTTAAACAAAATTCAGGAAAAATGTTTCTTTATCAATTTACTTATTATAACCAGTTGAATGAAACTGTACATAGTAACTTTAACCATTATTGTGAAACACAGCATAAAAGAATAGAGCCTCTCTTCAATAGAATTTCTCAATTGTGAAAAAAGGCCATGTTTTAAGGCTCATATATGCAAAAAAGAGATTTTTGCCATTTATTTAACAAATTGTAAAAATTAACAGAAAAGAGCAAAATCTTTGGCTTTTAAAAAATTGTTTTTCAAGCAACTCTACAAAAATATCAATGTTTTGTTGTTGAAATTCATAAACTTCATCAACACTTAATAATATCAGATATCTAGACAGCAGATCACAAGGGCTGAACTAAGTCCAGAATAAGATATGTGAAGGACGAACATAGGTAAGTATGAAACAATGGAATTAGTATGTTGCTAAAGGCATGCATAGAAAACAGATGTTCTTTCTTCTCTTCAACACTTGCCGATTTGTGTGATTTTAAATCATATATTTGTTTTGCTGGCCTTTTTGAAGTTTAAGCAGAGGATATAATTGATACTAGTATTTTCAGTATATAAAATATATCAAAAATTTAAAAGATAAGCAGGCCATAGAAAACTGTTCGTCTGAGATTCAAATTCAGGTTGTACTCTTGTGATTATTTCCTCTTTAAATTTAACCATTTAAACAAGTCATCACCAAATTTGTCTAAGATGATTATTTAATAAGCATTTAGAAAATTCAATATATTGTGTGTGTGTGTGTGTGTGTTTGGGTATTCTGGAAAATCAGTTCATGAGTATAACGTTATTATAATCAGACTAATATCATTGATATAGAAAAATAAATTATTTTCAATTCTGAGATCATGTTAAAATAGTAAAATATTTTTTCTGTAAAAATGTTTTAACTGTGAAACTGTAGGAAAATAGTGATCGATTTATCTAAAGTCGGAATGAACACACATAAAATGTTCTTACATCATGCAATTTGAGTATTGACAAAAATAATTTGGGTATTGACAAAAATAAATAATGGAAATGAATGATTACATAGATATGTACAAAATATGTACAAATTTGCTATCCTTTTCTGTTGGTTGTCCAAAGTTAAATACTTGTTCTATGAACAAGTACATTGTATATCGTGTGTGTGTCTATAGCAAGAGGATATGATTGATGTTTGTGAGTAAGTCATTAACAACAGCTTCAAAATTTTTCTTGTCTCTGTTGTCAAAACCTTTTGATCAATGCAATTTCCAATCAGAACAGAAAACATGGTGCAGATTGATTGACCCAAATGATTATCTCTATGGCCATAAGTGATATAGATTTATAAGATAAATCAGCATCAAAATTTGACAAGTAATATATGGAATTCTACACAAACTGTGAAAACGTAAGTATGCAAATTTAAACAATGGCCATTACTGTATTTTAAAAGGGAGATTTTCCAAATCGTTCATTTATAAAATTATTCTTCTAAAAAAATTTGTAACTAATTCTTCTACAATCTCAGAGGAAATGCAAACACAAAATGAGGGACAAAGTAAGCATTTTCCAACTGCAAGTAAAGAAAGACATTAAAAGAGTTTATATCAATTTGGCCAGAATATCATGTCTATATGAAGTCTACATCAATTGGGTAAAATAATCAGCAATACAAGAAAATTCACTGATCAAAATGTTGTGAAAACAAAATCAAACACCAATTTGAAGATTAATGTCTGTAAAAAATGTTAAATGCATGAGCAAACTTGCTCCTTTTCTTCAGTTTTTGTCCTAAAATCCATTTTCATTTTCTGCTTACATTACAAAAATTCAAAAAATATCACTTATATAATTCTTTCTCATCACAAAATATATCCTATATTTAACAATCCACCATTGATAGGTAAAATGTCAATAATTTTAAATCAAAAAAATTATTGAGAGTAATAAAAGTATATTATTTACACAACAAAGTATATATATATATAATAAAATTGAAAAAGTAATGTAAAGTTGCCCTGTGACTGACCTGTGGGTGTGTTATATGTGACAGCCACATAAGAATGCCTCATCATACTACTGTGACGCATTGAAGATACTCTATAAGCCGACATGGAAGTGGCAATTTCTTCACGTCATCCATAGACACCAAATGTAAAATCCTTCTTCGACACAAATACTGTAAATTGAGGTGGACAACCGGCAACTTGTATGTGAAAACTTGTCGCTTATAAGGTAGATTTTTCATGACGGCAATGCATGCTTCACTTGGAGAGAAACGTGGGAAAACCTGTAGGTTGATCACTTCGGAGAATGGCCAGTAGCAACCCTTGACATCTATGGTCATTAAGACTTCAAGTTTCCTGTAATCCAACACTCCAACAACATTGACTTTGTATTCCTTGGCATGGACAGGTTGGACACAACGTACAGCCAGAAAGTCTCCGGATTTACTCGATCGAATTTGTTGAATGCCAGCAGGAAGTGAGAGATTTTCCACTGATCTTACTGATTCCCCAGATTCAATATGTTGCACTTGAAGACATCGGCCCCAGCTGACAATAATGCAGTTGTCTCCGGCCTGGGCATTGAACGTCAAGACTTTGGCACGTAATGTTGGTGATACGGTACTGATTGTGATGTTGTTGGAAGGGTGAACACGCATCTTTCGCAGCAAGTAGTTATCGGGTATTACAAGGACACGTGTCGAATGATCAGGACGCAGCAAGATGCGTTTCTTCAGCGGCGAAATGTAGCACTCATACCATCGGCGGAGGTAGTAAGCAATGCTGAAATCGGCCAACGATAAGTGGCGGTCGAGATCAAGCACATAGAAGATGGCAGTGAGATCCTCACGTGTAGGATTCAGCTGAAGCACAGCAAGGTTGTCATGGTAGCCGATAATGCTAGCTTCTTTAAACATGACAGGCCACGGGTCCCAACACCGGACTGTCATGTCAGTGTTGAAAACAGCAAATGGGTTCAGTCCGTCAATGACCACATCCTCCGAATTCTTAGTTGATATGACAGCCTCAAAGATGGAGGGTAGCCGAACACCAAAGTGCTGGCCATCGGTGTTGTCGGGCTTCACGAGGATGCCATAACGACGATGGGTGTCCCTATTGCTGCAAAAGTCTGTTTTATCACTGAAGCCATTCACGTTTTTAAGGCCGCGCACCCACTTAGTGTAGGAGCAGGACCAGACCAACTCGCCACTGCTAGACTGAAAGAGGCGCTCAAAATACTCCCTGTTGCTGAGCTTCAGGTGTTTGAGTGATACACTGTGATGGCTGTGACATGCTCCCATAGCACCCTACAATCTAAGGACTGACCAATTAGAGATGGTGGTGGTACTGCAAATCAGGTCCTTCCAAACAACAATCTGGGACAAAAATTAAACAGCACAGTGAATTTTATGAACATTATGAACAAAGTGAAAAACAATATGAGTAAAAAGAAAATAAAAGAAAATAAATGTATTATCCTTCTTCTATTTACAATTCTAAAAAAATTATTTTAAAAATTTGAAACCTGACACCCAAAAGCAGAACTTTCCTCTTTGGCTTAATGAAATGATCTACAAAAAGTACTATACATGGAAATAGCAATAGACAAAACTTCCTAAATTGAATTATTGTTATTGTTATCCATTATTAAAATGGATGGATTCAGGTTAACATCCTTTCTTTCTAAACCAATTTTATTTTCAAAAATACAATGTTCTGACTGAATTTAAGATAAATACTAAGACCTTAATATAATAAAACTCCTAAGCAAAAATAAATATGAATAGGCTGAAATATTTGGTACTTGAAAATATTATAAATTACATTGCCTTTAAGATATTTTATGAATGAATATCTGATAAGATGCAATAAAAAAATCAAAAAAAAAAAAAAAAAAAAAAATCGATTGGACTGTTTATGAATAAGTTTTAACAAAGTTAAAAAAAATATTTTATATGAATTGCATCCTCATGTAGATAATAAGTACCATAATATATAATGGGAACATTTTACCCATCCAGATATTGAGGAAGTGCATAATTCCTACATCTGACATAACAATATTACTGAAATGGTTCTATCGAAGACAGAAAATATATTATACTGGTTATAAATTCAGAAAATTACTTCCTTTAACTAAATTATGTTTAATGAGACTAATATAGCAAATGAATACTAAAAAAATGTTTTAACAACTCACCTATTCCTTGGTGTCGAAATATAATTTTATATTACAAATAAAATGAAAATCAAATCTTATCATTAAAATGAATGTAAAATTCTGCTAAGAAATGGTAACCTCTGGAATTGAAAGCCTTAAAAACCATTTCAGCAAATTAAAAATAAATTAAAATAAAATGACAAAAAGCTCTAAAAAAAAAAAAATTAAACCAATTTCCGTCTTTCATCCATTTCCAACAAGATATTGAAAGGAAAAACAAGATTAATATTCAAAATGTGAAATATAATTGTTGATAACAAGTTTGGAAAATTTCACAAAATATGCACAATAACTTTACATTGAATGAAAAATATTAAGCAAGAAAAAAAAATTAAATAAATAGAAATCCTAGACTCTACAAAAAAAGATTCACCTAACATCAAGTTAAAGTCACTAGACACAAAAGCATATCAGAGAATATAGTGATTAAATGCATGGTCATCAATAGATAACAGGGAAATATAATTTAAAGATCTTCAAATTTTATTTGCTAAAAACATGACTGATAATATGATTATGATATTGTGACCAAGAACTTGAAAACTTTAAGTGTTTACAAGAACTGTCACAAATTTAGTTTTTTTTAGAGACAATTGAAGCATGAATGAAATGATTGCCTCACCATTAAATTGGGAGCCACATTAAGGATTCCATCCTGATGTTATTTGCTTGGCACACGCAACATTGGAAAACTATTATTACTGTAATCTATGTTCATGTAACCAAAATATTCAAGATTACAAGACATTTTGAACTCCAAGTCAACATGATGGTAAACAATAAACTAGTTCAATGGTATTCTTCAGAAAATTCATTCAAATTTATGCCTGCATAATTTAGGTGAATAATATCAAAAAAGATCAAGTAAATCATAAAAATTTAGACTATAATTTTTTTTAAATTATTTTTTTATGTAGGTGTTCCTCTTGATGTTTTTTTGTTCCAAGACATGGATTAGGCATAACAATTCAAGAATAGTAGTAAATTTGACAAGTCTTAAAGAAAAAGAATATAATTTGAAAATAAATTAAAAATTTTACCAGTGGAATACTCACTGATTAAAACTGTCTTTCTATATAATTTGGGATGAACACTTGTGGTCCTTCTACCCATGCTGGGAAAATGCGTAACAATTTGTGATGTCTTCTCAATGGAGAAAATCTAAAAGAGAAGCATTCAGAAAAAAAACAGTCATGGTAATTACTGAAACCGATATCAATTACAGCTGATTAAGTCAAATACAAATAAACAAATTTTACTTAGGTGTTATCTATACATGAACCATAATTTTGAGGTCTTCAAAAATCTAAGCATAATTCTTTTTAGTAGACTTAGTAATACCAAACTGACACTCATTGTAATAATTCCCATTCAATATATATGTTCACATTGTTAGTAAAGTACCATGAAAATCAAATGTATCATTATCAATGCTCACTATTTACATTATCTGGACTATTGTCCTCATCTTTGTCGCCATATTTATTATAATATATTTATAAAATATATTTATTACGTTTCGGATGTTGTATGGTCCGGCCTTCTTCAGGTGGTTGGAATGTCAAACTGAACCCTTTATTTCGCTCACTGGGGTAGACTGTTCTAGTTCCACAATGCCATGTCTAATGGATGTCAAAATTATCAGTTATCTCCTGATTAATTCCCTCTCCAAGTTCTCCATCGCCTTAACCAGGTATTGAACTCACACTCTTTGGGCCCTGTCACTGGATCTAACGCTTTTATCCACTGTGCCACATGTCCTTGAGGACATCTGTGTATGAATTTCTGGGTATTAAAAGGTTATAAACCTAATGTCTTCAGCAACAATTTTACCAGTGCTCATACTGCAATTTTTGCCGTTATCATTTCATGTTTTTACCAGAGCTCATATTGCAATTTTTGTTGTTATTATCACTTTTCTCTGGCACTCTTTATTACTGGTTCCCATATTGTATTCATTTCTATGCTTAGTCAGCTCAGGAGATTTTTGTGGCCTAGCATATGTGCTGATTCCTTAAGTTTACGAATATTCCAATGGTGTTCTTTGTCTATGATCTCAAACTAATCACACAAAAGAAATATAAAAGGGAGACAGGCCACTCCCTTAAAGTAAGGCTTCAAGAACACTAGAAAGGTGTAACACAAGGACAAGTGGAAAAATCAGGTGTGGCTGACCACATATAGAGAGAAAAGGGAGATCACCACCCTCTGTAGGATCAAGTTGAGATCATAGACAAAGAACACCATTGGAAAATTCATAAACCTAAAGAATCAGTACATATGCTAGGCTACTAAAATCTCTTGAGCCGACCAAGCATAGAAATGAATACAATTTGGAAACAAGTAATAAGGAATACCAGAGAAAAGCAATAATAACAACAAAAATTGCAATATGAGCTCTGGTAAAAACGTGCAATGATAACAGCAAAAATTGCAATATGAGCACTAGGTAAGATATTGTTGCTGAAGACATTAGGTTTATAACTCTTTAATGCTCAGAAATTCATACACAGATGTCCTCAAGGACACATGGAACAGTGGATAAAGGCGTTGGTTAGATCCAGTGACAGGACCCCAAACAGTGTGAGTTCAGTACCTGGTTAAGGTGGTGGAGAACTCGGGGAGGGAATTAAGCAGGAGATAACTGATAACTGACATCCATTAGACATGGCACGTGGAACTAGAACAGTCTACCCCAGTGAGCAAAATAAAGAGTTCAGTTTGACATTCCAACCACCAGAAGAAGGCTGGAGCGTACAATGACCAAAACATAAAAAATATGGCAACAAAGATGAGGACAATAGTCCAAATAATGTAAATAGTGTACATAATACCTCATCTCAGAAATATAGAAAGTATCAATGCTATGATACAATATAAATTACATATAATAATTTATTTAACATTCCTTTCTATAAATATTGAACATTAATTATTTTGCCATTAAGAAATATCTTGAACCCTGTGAAATTATTTATCATAAACATGATAAAATATTGTAATAGTTTATAAGGGTCAATAATGCTAAGAGTGCTAAACATAATATTTCATAAACAGCAAATATTCATGTTAATATCAGTAAAAGGAAGTGATTTCAAACTACCACTGATGATTCAGATAAATCATTCTTAACACACAGACAAGTAACAAGTCAATGTTACAGGATTATTCTAAATAATGTGAACTCACTTTATATATTCTGCAAGATATGAGGCTGTTCTTGAAAATAATACAAATTTTATCATTAGACAAGCAACACAAATAAATTTGGTATTGCACAAATCCAAAGAGATATTATAAGAAATAAACTCTTAGAAATTGATTTTTGAGGAAAAAGATCACAAAAGCCATCATATTTTGTAGACAGACTGACAAATGTAATATTGTGATTTCAAAATAGAACAAAGTGGAAAGTTAAATATTAAAAAAAAACAGATGAGCACAAAAGAATGCAATTCAAAAACTCAGTCTACAAAACAACACACCAACTAAGCTAATGGATTTAGAAAAACAAGAATAGCAAATATCCCCAAACAATATTGATTATTGTAATATTTTCTCAAAAGAAAAGAATTACTGATCAGCTCATGCATTTTCAATCTGGGACACCAGCATTGTGTTAACAGCAAGAAGTACTTGCAGGGCTTTTAATAATATTGCACCATTCACCTTTGCCAAGCAAGTAATATGCACTATTTTTAGTCTATTAAAGTAGCAATATGCCTTTCTATTTTAACAAGATTGGTTTTCAATTCAGAGATGTTCTCATAAGAATTAACATGCTTAACCAGGAAATTAAATTCGATTTATTTCTAATAAAAAAATAAATTATTTTAGACAATGACACCAGAGTAAATTACAGTTGTTATAGCAACAGAAAAATTTAATAGCAATATTTTGAAAGTTGATATCTTAACTGATTAGAATCTCTATCACAAACTCCCACACTGATATCAGAGAGTATTTTTATTCATAAATTAGTCATACTAACTGTTAAGGTATATTTTATTTCTAACACATTTCAAATGTGAATTCACTTGAGCAGATATTTCTATTTCTATTTGTTGTAGCATTCATTCA